TGGGTTTGAATTTGTGATCTTCCTGCCTCAGCCTCCCAGAGCTCCTCTCATAAAGTTTTCATTTGCTTATGTGTGTCACTTCTGCTGGTTGATTTGATCATTGGTCAGAGGCTGTGCCTAAACCTCTTGTTTTCCTTTTTGGTGATACTGGGAATCGAACTCAGGTCCTTGCACTTTCCAGGCAGGTGCTGTGCCACTGAGCTATCTTCCTGGCCCTAAACCTTTTAAATCTCTTTTATGTTGAACTGTGTCGTGTGGTTTGGAGACTACTTACATGGTTGAGAGAGTTGATGAATTTGTCCTATTTTTAGCTCAGGCCCAGAACCTCCTGTGTCCCTCAGCCATTGTGCCTTAGAAGATGGCAGCTTGGGCAGGTGCACAGGCTTCCAGGACACTGGGTTTTAGCAGGTTTTTCTATGTCTTTTATTGGTTTCTTTGTCAAATGTTTGGCTGTTATGGCTCTATTGTTATCACACCATTCTGGAGTCTTTTGATGGGTAGCACATTGCTGTATTATTTTTGACAGTGCTCTGGAACATAAATTACTCCACAGTCTCATCTAAATAAAGTTGGGCACCTTAGCAGGGGCCAGGTACTATAGCCCCATCCTCTTCTGGCAGTGACCTCCACGGAATGGAGCAGGAGCTTGGGGAGGTGTGAATGGGGGTCTACTCATCATTGGTGGCCCCACGTGGATCCTACCTATTGGTGCTGTGGCTGCCATTACTGTATCTGGAACAAAGAGCCTCATGAGGTGTGATGTGTGGATTTCACTGGAGGCAAACATGAAATGACCAACCTGGATAGGTGTAGGAATAGCTGCATGGGGGGCAGCTGTTCTGCAGTGCAGAGTTGTGGGGGAACCACAAACTGCACTCTGTCTTAGCTGTTCTGCCTTAATCTTCCCTACAAAGTGGAAAGTGGGTAACAGGGAAAGGATGCTGCTTTCAGGCTGTTGTGTCTTCTGGAAAGGGTCTTCTCCAAACAGAGCTGTGGGGGTGTGGAACATCCTTCTTCCTGTTTGTGCTGAATTTCAAAGATTTGTTGTCAGTCCTTTGCTCTACAGAGACTTTGAATGAGTATCTTTGGTAGTTTTACCTAGTTTAATAAATATCTCTCTGGGACAGAGTTTTGTCTAGCTCCTTACACCACATACTAGGTGCGTTCCTGTCCTTGGGACACAGTACTCTGTACATATAACCTGAAGGAAAAGAGATGTGGCTCGTGGTTCTGGTGGGTTCAGTCCGTGGTTGTCTGCCCCCGAGGCAGAAGTGTGTGATGAGAAGGGCACTGCAGGGGAAAGCTGCTCACTCAATGGCAGCAGGGAGTAGAGAGACAATGGTGGTGCCTGTCGTGCCCTGCCCCCCTCAACCAGGCCTCACTTCCAAGCACGTGAGTCTTTTGGGGGGACTTAAAAGAAGATTTTATTTTCATTTTAAATTCCTTCCTTTTTTATTTATTATATTAGTACAGGTTTTTAATTCATAATGAATACATTCATTGTGGGAGTTGTTACGTATACATATTGCATCTTAGTCTTTTAGGGGGGCATTTTATTTTATTTTTTTTTTTATATATTTTTTTGGTGCTGGGAATCAAACTCAGGACCTTGCACTTGCCAAGCAAGGTACTGTGCCGCTAGGGAGGCATTTTAGATCTAAACCATAGCACACCACTGCTCCCCAAATAGGTATGTAATTAAAAATTCAAATACTACAAGAGGAGTAAGTCTGTCTCCTAAACATATCCTCGGGTCTGATTTCTGAGCGGGTCGGCTACTAGCAGCAGTTAAAGAGATAGTCTTGCTATGTACCTTGGTCAACAAGAACTTTAGCTACTGAAGATTCAGCCTCAGGTTTTTGCATGGCTCGGGATTGAACCCAGGGCTTTGTGCATGCTAGGCAAGTGCTCTACCACTGAGCTACATCCCCAGCCCCAGCCTCAGGTTCTAAGCATGAGACTTACTAAGATCTTATTACACCTAAACTGTATATTGGCTTTCTACCTGCCCTTAAAGTTGTTGTTGGTTAAGGAGTCCTTTGTGGCTTAGGGCTAGTCATTGTAGACCATCTAATTTAGTTTACTGTATATTTATTATTGATAAATTGTCTAGCATTCTCTTTCCTAAACATTGAATTTAGACATTAAATATGAATTTAGACTTTAAACGTAAAAACAATCATCATCTCTCTTACTTGCTGTGGTAAACTATGTATGCAGTATTGGCTAATATAGATAACTGCTTTACATATCAGGCAGTGGAGAGAGGGATGTTAAATATTTTTTAGGTGGTAAATAGCATTGCCTTAAAATGGAACAAATTTAAAATAATAGTTTCTGGTTGGTTCTAAAATTTTTATTTTAGACCGATGTGGTGAACGAGCGCTCTCCTGGGCCGGGGCTAAAGCCGCGCCAGGCGAGGGACGGACGTTCATGGCGAATGGGACCGCTCTCCTCGTTCTGCCCGCGGGCCCCTCGCTTCTCTGCCCCGCCCTTTGGTGGTGTGCGGAAGGCAGGGGTGCGGAATCCGGCCCGACCTCTCTCCTCTCCTCAGCCTTATGGCGTGGGGCAGGGGCCTGGGGTCGCTTGCCGTGGTTGGACGCCCCTCGTGCGCCGTCGCTGGTGCCTGTGCTGCGTGGGTGGGTCCTTCTCCGCGGTGGGGAGGGCGTCCCCCCTGTGACGCGCGAGCGTGCCTGTGCCTTCTGCGGTGCTCCTGGCGAGCTCCGGGTCCTCTGTCAAAACGAAAAAAAATAAAATGAAATTTTTATTTTAAATGTTTTAACTATGATGTTTTTAGAAACAAAGAACACATCGCGTGTGTGTGCCACTTAACAGCCTTATTCCCCTGGTGCAAATCTGAGGACTGTTACAGAAACCCTTTCTGTGGAGGGGTTTTGTTGTCTCAGGCTGGACTATTGCTCAGTGATAGAGTACTTGCCTAGTGTGTGCACAGCCCTGAGTTCAAACCCCAGCACTGCAAGGGGGAAAACAGTTTTCTTTTCTGACTGACTGCTGGGCAGAAAAGTATTGCACTGTTTTCCCAAAGGGAGAGGCTGAGCTTACATACCTTGTTTGCTTCTTCAGCTTCTTGTTTATATTTTTGGCCCAGCGGCATATATCTGTTTGCAGAAGGTGAAGCTGATCATGGAATCGCATCGGGGAAAAGTTAATAAACTAAAGAAAATGGCAAGTCTACAAGGAAAAATAAAGTGAATAATCAAACTGGTGTTTAGTTAAGGGATAAACTTGCCAAGACTGTAGAAACCACGTGTGACACAGGTTTAGACTCTCCTTGACCGACCTTGAATTTCCTCTGGGACTTTTGCCAGTTTTAATTTTAATTAATGAATTAGGTTATTTTTAAGGGAAGAAGTAGGGAAAAGAAACAAGATTCTGTTCTGTTTCCCCTTAACTTTGAGAATAGTGTTGGAAGTAGAAATACAGAGTGAGAGAGAAGGTAGTGATTGGAAAGGAGAGCCAGAGAAGCACTTCTGCTCTCTGCTTTTTTGGGGTCTCAGCGGATAGTCACTGTAAACAACAGAGACCCCACGTTTACCATCTCAGGTTAATCTTCAAAAAATGGGAGCTGAGGTTTAAATTGTAATCCACTAAAACTTATTGCAAAGTTGTGTTCTATCTTCATAAGGGATGTTGAACTGTGTATGTGAATTAGTGTTGCTGGTATTAGGGCCAGCGAGTCAGGTGGAGGCAAGGAAAGGGAGAACTGGGCCATAGCTGGAAGCGTTCTCTAAGGCTTCATAATCCTGAGGACCCAGACAGCTGGGGCTCCCTTCTGTTCCCTTCTTTGTCTTTTTCTTTTCTGTTTTCTTTCCTTTTCTTTTTCCTTTCTTTTTCTAGTTCTCATTCATTCATTCATTCATTCATTCCTTTTGTGGTGCTGGTGACTGAACCCAGGGCTTCTACGTTTCTTAAGAGAAACCACTACAATTCAGGGATTCCAGCAGCTCCACAATTCTACAGGAGAAAACTCTCCAGTGCAGAGATTCCAGGAGCCCAAGGCTTATGCATAGACACTCGTTCCCTAGTGTTGGGAGCCAGAGTGGAGTCAGTGCCGGATCTAGCGCAATTGGAAGTTTGATAAGATACAGGAATTGTATCTTTACCTTAGCAAGACCATTTCAAGAGATACATTCTGTCTCCTTTCGTCTTTAGCTGCTTCCTTCCTTTGTTACCTAGATAACAGTTGAAAACTACTCAGAGCCTGAGGTAGAAGAGTTTTTATACTTTCATGAAGGTTTTGTTTAATCAGATAGCTATCTTCCTAGTATCAGGAACTGTGAACTTTTCAAATTCACATTGTCTATTTAACTGCTGTTCCCTGGAATCAGGCAACATTGTGCCTCTGTTAAGTCCAACTGTGATGGGCATACTGAAGGAATAGGCTTTTGGTATAATGTGTTGCTGTGAAAGAAAGACCCTTAGGTAGTTTTTTTAAAAATTGAACTCTGAAAGTTGAGCCTGGGCAAAGTGCTAAATGGAGAGGATGCGGGCAGTGAGAGAGCGTGTCAGTCCTGAGTGGGGTCTGGGGAACAGGTAAGTCTCAAAAACATAATGCTGATTCCATTTATATAAAGGCTGAAAACAAGCCCTGTGTGGCGGTACATGCCTCTAATCCCAGCACACTGAGAGGATGAGACCTGAGGATTGTGAGTTTGAGCCCAACCTGAGCAACTTCATGATACCCTGTCTCAAAATTAAAAAATACAAATGGAATGGGGATGTAGCTCACTGTGAAAGCCCTGGGTTCAAACCCCAGCCCTACATGTGCACACTGAGACGTAGAAGAAAAGGAGCTGTGGAAGAAATTAGAGCCCCCAAGAGGAACTCGTGTGATTCTCCTGTGTTACACCCAGAGAGCGAAGCAGACTTGGGTAAACTTGAAGAAAACACTGGGAGCGGTGTTAACGTAAAGAAGAACTAAATTGCTTCTCCAATTCTCCTTAGTTGACCCTGAGTACCAGAAGGAAGCAGAACAGAGACATCGCGAATTGGCAGCTAAAGCTGGAGGATTTAATGACTTTGCAACTTTAGCTGTCATCTTTGAACAGTGCAAATCAAGGTATGTGCGGTAACCCTTTGTACTAGAACATGGCAGTTTGATCTGACTGCTAATGGGAATGACACTGGCCATCAGTGAGCTTATGTCAGGTAACTTGTTAGGCATTTACTGGATAATATTGGTCCTCTTCTCAAACCGTTTCTAAAAAGTGATCTTAAGAGAATTTGCTTTCTGTATAGATCATTTAGATGAGAAAATAATTCAATTTGGCATTACATGTAGTCATTGATTTGTTAATGCCTACAGGTAAAAAGAAACCTATTATAAAATTATTTTTAATTTAACTGACAATTGTTTTTTGAAATACCCTAACGTGCTTTATTAGTACTTGGACAGATTTCATTTAAAGAGCTGATAGTTGCTTATGGATTTCCACTTTTGCAATAAAATGAGACTGTTAGAATGTCTTTTACTTGTAGAAGATATTTTCAAGACAACAATATTTTTGGTTTATAGTGGAGCTCCAGCTTCATGGTGCCAAAAACATTGGATTCATTGGAGGTGCTTATTTTCTGCATTTCGTGTGGAAGCTCAGCTTCGAGAACTAATCAGGAAGCTTAAGCAGGTGATTGTGATAATGCCCTATTCTTTTTGGGCCTATATATTTTATATTGAATTTTCTCTAATGTATAGTAACCTCTTACCACCCCTCCTAGTCTACTGCCTTCTCTTTCTGCTTGCTTCTGCAAATAGCCATCTCCTTGATGCCAGGAGTGATTCCTGTTACTAATAAAGAAATTTACCTGCAGAAATGAGAACATTTAAAAAATAGCCTTACTGAGGTATAATTGACATGCAACAGAGTTCTCGATTAAAATGTAAAATTTGCCAGAAATATAGCTCAGTGGTGCAGGCGCCTGCCTGGCAAGTACAAAGTTGTGAGTTCAATTCCTGGTACCCAAAAAACCTAAAAAACTAAAATGTAAAATTTCTTGAGTTTTGACATCTATATAAACCTATGAAACCATCGCTACATTTGAGATAATGAACGTGCCCAGTTTCCAAAGTTTCATCATGTTCTTGTAATCCATCCATCTCACCTCATAGGTGATCCCTTCTTTCCTGACCCAGCAACTGATATTCTACCTTTTATCGCTGCTGACAGATTTATATTTCCTAGTATTTTATGTGAGGGAAGTCATATACTTGGGGTTTTTTTTTGGAGGGGGTTTCGTTACTTAGCATTATTACTCTTTTTTTTTTTTCCAAATTTATATTTTATTATGGTAAAATACATATAAAAAATTTATCTTCTGTGTGTATGTGTGGTGCTGTGAACACAGGGCCTGTATTGTTTGTCTTTACATTCATAAGTCTTTTCATCTATAATGCTAAATCTGATGGTAAACTCAACCATTATATTTTTCATATTTAGTATATGTGCTGCTGAAGCAAGCACTATGTTTTTCATCTTTACATGTTGAATTTGGGTGTTTAAAACAACAACAAAAATTTTCAGATCTCTCCATGACACATTTTTTTGGTAGTGCCATTTGTGTTACTTCTGGGTTGATTTTAGTTGATTGAATATATCCTTATTAGGCATAGCATTGTATTTTCCTACTTCTTTGCATGCTTGGTAATTTTTGAGTTGATGCTAAACTTAGTGAATCTTGCTTTGCTGAATGCTAGATACTTTTGCATTCAAATTACTTGGAAATTGTTTGATCTTTGTAGGTCTTGCTTGTTTTAAGATTTGTTATGCTGGATCAGAGCAGTGCTCAGTCTAGAGCTAGTTGTTCCCCACTACCAATGCAGCACCCTTCTGAGTGCTCTACACAAAGTCATGTAAATTATGAAGTGTTCTACGTGGCTTATAACAACCACCATTCCCAGCCCTGTGTGAATACCAAGTACTGTTACTTCCTTGTTATATGGGAAGGTTCTTTTCCTGAGCTAATCAATGCCGCACATCTTTGGTGTTCTCTCTCTGTGCATTTCTCTTCTGTGCCAAACTTTCTTCTGTAAATTCCAGCCACCTCTGGTTTACCCAAACTCTAAACTCTGTCTTATTAATGCAGGGAGTTGTCTGGGTTCCATTTGGAATTTTCTTCCAGTGCCTTGTTTCAGAATCTCTCTCAAGACAGTGGGCTGGGCAATTGAGCTTGCTTCACTTCCTGTTTCAGGGAGCCCTGTCCTTTGTTCGCTGTTACATAGTGTTCTGGGAGTCACTGTTTGATATATTTTGTACATCTTTTGGTTATTTCAGACAGAAGGCTAAATCTAGTCCTATTTTGTCCCATATTGGCCAGAAGTAGAAGTCTTAAGGAATGTGGGTTTTAAATAAGATTATTTCAAATTGTTCTGGGGGATTTACCACTGAATATTGTTTCTGCAGCAAAGTGATTTCCCACGAGAGACCTTTGAAGGCCCTAAACATGAAGTACTACGAAGATGTCTTTGTGCAGGCTATTTCAAAAATGTAGCTCGAAGGTAAGCAATATGAGCTTGAGGGATGAATTAAGCAATATTATTGTATTTGACCACAATACTAAACAATTTGATATTAAAGATTGAAGATTTTATTTAAACTCTGTCATTATGATGATTTCAGTTATGATGAACCTTTTCATAATTATTTCTTGTGCAGGGAGGCTATAGTGACCCAGAGTAGGTATTGGAGTCAAGCAAGCAAAGTAGAAAGAAAGCAGATTTAGGGCAGGTCCAGCATGGACCTAAGGCAAGTGGCAAAAAGTTTTTTGTAGTGCAGTGGCCCTACCTATGTGGAGTGTGAAAGCCAAATAGGTTGATGATGGCATCGCTGAGGAAGGGTAGCTTGGGCATAGAGTGTCAGAGCTCAGACAGGGTCGGGAGGTATTATATTGTTTCATGTGGTTGTCAGGGTCTGAATGTAGTGAGGAGGGCATCTTCATAGGAAAGGGGTAACTTTGGTAATGGGAAATTCCTTATATACAGAGGAATAGATTATATAACTAAAAATAAGGATAATGGGGAAGGGAGCTAGAAATAGTGAAGAAAGTGAAAGTGATTTCTGTGTTGGAGTAGCATTTCAGGGCATCATCATGGCACATAGAAGTGGGCATGGTGGC